AGTTTTGTGGGGCAACTGCTTCCCTTTCCACCCTGTGTTAAAAGGCAGGTGCTCTGCCTCCCTGCATAGGGAAGGTTTAACCCACCCACAGAGGAAGCCCTCTGGGTTTAACCCCCCTACCAAGTCCTTGTACCAGCCCAGAAAGTCAGAAAATTCCTTATTTGCTTTTTTATTTTTTCTGTGGGGGGTAGGGAAAAAAAAAAAAAAAGAGAACCACAAACACAGACCTCCCAAACTGCCAACAAACACCCAAACAGACCAAAACATTTTTGGTTATAACCCAAATATTTTCTAGCAAATGGTCCAAAATGTTTTTGATCATAACCTAAATATTTCCCAGCAAACAGACCAAAACATTTTTGGTTGTAACCTAAATATTTTCTAGCAAATGGTCCAAAATGCTTTCAGTTGTAACCTAAACATTTTCTAGACCTGCTCTGGCCCTGCTTGCATCCCTGCTCCGAGCAGCCTGGCTCTTCACAGCGGGGCAATCGCACTCTCCATCACCCGCCGATAGCCCGGCGTCGTTATCGCGGTGCTCATCCCGTGTCAATGCCCTGCACAGATTTTATTCCCTCGAGAGCACCGGGGAGCGTGTGTCCTTTGCTGGATATTGAGACTATAATAAAGCAATTATCTTGTTTGCTAGCAGGACTGATAGAAAGATCAACTTATTAAGATTGGATAAAAAGCAAATTCTGGCTGAAGGCAAAGAGCAGTTATCAAAACGTCAATATACCGACTGTTATCTGCAGGTCCCCACGGGGTCTCAGCCTTGCCAAAAGACAAAGGAGTAAGGTGCCCTCTACAGCACACACAAACACATTCTGCTTTTGGCACTTCTTGACCCCAAGTTAGACAGCACTTGTTTGCCGAGGCATTTAGTCTAAAGCGAAGCAGGGATTTAGTTTCTAACATCAGAGAGCCAGTGTCACTACACTGCCAACAGCACGTACCCACGCCGCTCCAAGGCAGGACTTCTTGGGGCCAAGCTCTGGGCTTTTCTTCTCCTTTGCTTTCCATTTCTTTTCTGTGTTGGGGCAAGGGCCCAGCCCATAGGCAAAGAGCTCCAGCCCAGGGAATCCCACCTCTCCCAGAGGAGTACGGGTCCCCTTTGCATCCCATGGCCAACCCCACCACCTTTCCCAGGACAAAACCAGCAAACAAGATGAGCCGTGAGCAGCAGCTCTCCTGGCCATCCCAAGAGCTTAAGCACTTTCAACACGAGCCAACAAAGCCTATTAAACCAACAGCCACTGCAGAGACCGGTACCGTCTCCCAAAAGGCGGTAGCTCTCGGCAGAGCATTTTCAAGGATTAGAAAAGGGTTCTAAAGCGGGATCCAGCCTCCTCCATGACCCGAAGACCTCTCCCGCCTGCAGACACCACTCCCAGAGCCATCAAAGGACAGAAACCTTCTCAAAGACATTGCCATCACCCTGAATTTCCTACTCTGCTCTAGGCTCTGCTTTACCCACGGCAAAAAGTGACTGATCCCAACTCCAGGACAATTTACCACCCTGGTTCCTGTGCCTCTGCCCCAAACATAAGCTTTTGCTATTTACCTTACCAAATGGTAGCAAAGAACTTGATGAACACGAATACGGGACTGCCAGGAGTTTCCCCTGGTCATTAAAACCCGTTGCTCTCGCAAGCGCAACGTCAGCTAAAACCCTTCCTGAAGGTGCCAAATCCCATCTGAGTTAATGCTCTCCCCCTTGATCATTTAAACAGTCTTGCTCTACATGATTAATTTAAAATTGCGCTATGCACTTTGCCTGGAGCGCAATTGCTCTCTGCTTGAGTTCTCCAACCACGAAAAGCTGTTGGTGGAAGCGTTCCACAGGATGGCTTGTGTGTGTCCAAAGCAGCTGTGTTTATGAACTGCACCCAAGCACACGTATCCTTCACTCAGTGCTGCACGAGCTGGTTTTAGTGTTTTATTTCCAAAACAGAGATTATAGTACACAGATGAACAGCTTCCATCCACATTAAAATAGATATTCCTCTTTTCCTATGCAACCATGAGAACAGCTCCTGAAATAAACCGTCGGGCTCTAGGTCTAACATCTCACTTTGCAAACCAGGGTGAGGATCAGCCACTTCACGATGATCTTCTCTTGCAGGCAGTTTCTGAAGAGACCCTCCAGTCACTCTGCTCTGTCCCAGACTCTAAGCTGACGCTGGAGCTCTACACCACCTCCTTATACACCCCAAAATGGTCCCCGCCTTCCTGCGTCAGTGTCCACCCAGGCACCTGAAGTTTAGAAATGCACCCCTCACAAGAGATTTTCCCACAATGCTAAGGACTATCCTGAAAACTCCAAGGCAAATACCAGTGGCAAATGCCATGCTGTTTTCAAGTTCAACTTCTTTCTGATAGGGCTATCAAAGTCTTCCTAGAAAGAGAAATGAAAAATGTTTCATTGTGTTTTCCTGGGATGGGATGGAACTAATAACATGGGTTTATCATCAGATGTGTTACCTCCTCTGTTCCTCTTCCAGTTCTTACCTCCAGCATTTCAGAAAGTCATGGAACGATCCTGAAGGAAAGTAACACACGGGTTTGGGTTGGAAAGACACTGTGCATGAAGGCACACTCCCTCAGGGAGGCACAGATGGCCCTATTAGCTGTT